TTTTTTTTTTTTTGCTTGCCCGCAGTTTTCCTATATAATTTTGTTTTCGACGTAAAGTTGGACTCAATTGGACGACAGACAATGGATTGGATGTTCCAAATCTTGTAATGAAATATGTTTATCCTGATAATTCGGAGCCGTATAGTGGTATAAAGATATTGAGTGTTTTCTTTTGATACTTGGACTACTGACTGATAGATTGTCATGTATGTGTATGTGCGCAGTCACAGTAAGCAAATTGTGACTAATTTTTTTGCAAAACAGTGGAATTAAATGACGAGCATGTTTTCTGAGGCTAAATAATTTGTGCAATTATTCGTTCAGGTCGCTCATTAAGTAGACGATAGACATAGCTTTCCATGAGAAAATCGATTGAGTTAATTATGTACTCAATTATTATCAACATCGAAGAGTCTACTAAAATGGAGTGTAATTTTTAAAAAGATAAGACATGAAAAATGTCGGAAATGTTTTTTGCTTTAACGAGTTAAAGCACGAAAACCCTCCTTTTGTTCCATTAAATGAATCACGTAAATACAATATGGGCCGAAAAGAGAAGACAAGAAAAAATCCTTAATAAGTTGCCGTTCAAGATAAGTTACGCTCCGGATATCCTCGAAGGATCTTAGAATCTACATATTAACGCCCAGTTATGTGACGTGAATATCGCGTTCATCACTTTAGAGATACCGCCGGATGCGATTATATGCAATATAGCTATGCTTGTTTTGAAGTCGGAAAAATGTCTTTAGTAAAATAATTGATTTTGTTTTGACTTTTGCTTAAATAATAGTCAGAGATCAGAGCGACTTCTATTGGTGAATATGATAAGATAATTCGGAGTATTTATGTTTATGTTATGCTATGTTGAATTCGATGGATATCACATATCTCTACATTTTATCTTATAAGAGTTTTTCATTCAGTACTATTGAGTTATCCAGTGCATACAGGCGCTAATCATGGAACGGTCAAGTTCGCATTTTCGACATTCATTACTATTGTCGTTTGATTCGAAGAAATCTGCTGCCGAAGCTCATCAAGCACTTTTAAAAGGTTAGGGTGGTGCTGCGCTACCATATCACAATTGTCGGTTTTGCTTTCAACGGTTTAAAAGTGGTGAATGTTTAACGACCTCAATCGAATAAATTGAATGATGTATTGCTGCAAAAAGTTCAGCAGTAGCTGTTAATAGACACAAAGTCAGCCTGTGGCTGCTCGAGTGGCAAGTACTGCTACATTCAGCGTATTCACTAGTATTTAGCCAGGCTTCTCTGTAAGAACATTCACAATGTGGAATGCTAGTTGAGGCGATCGGCTGGCGGATGGACTTTTTGGTTTTTAAAGGGAATGCTTTACGTTAGTATCGTCTTATTGCTATATCTCGTTTCGCTTTCTTCCCAATAAACCGTATCTCAGGTATCATCTAATTAATTTACATTGCAATGTGTGCATTTACTGCGCCTATACGGCAATATTGTTAATCCAAAAAACATGGCACTTGTACTTGTACTTCTCGCCATGCTCGTCTGTTAGTATACAAGATCGGTGCGATAATTTCGGATACGTCGATTATTTTAGAACTACAGTCCCTGCCAGCTACGATACCTGCGTAAGGTATGCAGAATCCCGTGAGAAGAAGAGAAAAGGACTTTCAAAGCATGTTGCTCTATGGGCCTAACGTGTGGCTAACATTGTCCCATTCGAAATCCAAATTTATGATTTATTATGAGTTATAATTTTTAATGCATAATGGATTGGCAGAGAAGGAGAAAGACGGATAGCATAAATCGATTCACTCTAATACTTACGGATATTGTCTCATATTGTCTCTCTCCTACCATTTACAAGCATTTGATATATCCAATGTATTATACGTCTTGGGATGGACTTCAAAACGACGATATGTGCAAATCAGTTTGTGATGTAGGCTATGGTAAGCTTGTGTGGGCACATGTAACATTTGCAATGAGTTAGTGTACTACCTAGTGTTATTAAACTGATTGAATCAGAATAATTTCTTCTTTCTTCAATATGTTATTTTTATTTGACAACTTCTCTGCTCGACCATATATATGGCTATGCCTAACCTGCAGGACATAATTTCTGAGATATTTTATGAAATTTGACACACCAAGGTACTGTGGCCCAGGGACAAATTCTATTGAAAGCGGTTCGGATCGGACCACTTTTCTGACAACTTCCCATATAAAGTGTTATTTTGAAATGTCGTCATATGAGTTAAGTGAAGTATACGTAAAGTATTTAATGATAGATTTTGGCATTCCAATGTTTGCAGTTTTTTGATTTATTTATTAGGAAATTGGTTTTTATCGTAATTAGACGCTATAGATTTCGACCACGTCGTGCCATTTCATCAAAATAAATCAAGAATTCTATTCGAGGAAATGATGTAGGAAATGGTATATTAACCTTTGCATTTCAACATTTTTTTTTTTTGACCACCGTCAGCCTCTTGATTGATTCACGAAAACAGCATGAAAAAGAAAATCTAAAGTATTCCGAATACGATACATTTAATATTTAAAAAAAGAAAACAATTTAATAATTTGAAGGAATATACTGTCGCTACTGTCGCTAGCTTGGCATAGAAGTTAGTGGAAGATGTACAATGTCGAGACATAGTCGATATAAAGAGTGGAAATGGTTAAAGGTCGGCCTTGACCGATTATAATATTGTTACGTGTTTTGCTTTAGTAATAATACGTAGAGTGTCCGCGCACATTTAAAGCGGTTCTTCATTTCCGCGCACTATTCACTTCACAATTGACGAATGACTATATATGTTAACCGCAAAGATTCGATGATTTCGGTCCTTTAAAGCGAGTGGGATGATTTAATGACTTGATATGCATGGATTGTGTGTGTATTTGTCGAAACTTAAAAGCTTCTTACAGTGCACTTTACATTTATAGCTAATGCAATTCATTTAATCGAAGCGAAAATGACTGAATTGACAATTTTCAGTTAGTAAGTCAAGGTGAGTAAACAATTGTGTACGAATTTATCGCGAGAAGTCAAAGATGCTTGTATAGAAAAATAGAACCCTTTAGATAGCATGAAATAAATATTAAAAAGAATGCGATAATTTCCCTTTATAAACACCTATGTATATTGTCTTTCGATGGCACATAATTGCTTATGATAAAATTTCATTGTCCTTTGAACTCTTGAATGACTTGTGATATGATTTGACCCTTTCATTTCATCTGGTTCGGGTTCGACCACTTTGACCATTCACTTGAAACATGTCGTTCAATTCAGCTTTAAATACTTTTTAACGAAAACATGCGATAAAGCGCGCGCCTTTGCGCGCTTACATGCAAAATGCAATTTGTTATCCAAATATAACTGACCTTTACGGTTGAATAGTAGAATTACAAGAGCATCCAATGCCAATATAATGTTATAATACAATATACAATAATAAGGGTTAAATAATATAAATTAAATTAAAAATATATGCCAAAAGAAAACAAACTCACCCCTTAAAAAAAAAAAAAAAAAAAAAAAAAACATTAAACGATCATTGAAATGATTTTCAAAGTTATGTTAAAAAATTATTGCTTTCATATGCACATTATATATAACCTACACAACGCTAGCGCGCTTATCGAACGAGGAGAGCAGAGGGAAAGACAGCGAGAGCGAGAGAACTCTCATATATTGTGAATTATAACAATAATAATATATATGTATATAAATAAAGTATAAAAACACTACACTACACATACGCACACACACACACACACAAACACAAACATATAAATTTAACGAGTGCTTTCTGTTGTGTATGCGTGAAGCGGGGGGTTTGCTTGGCGTGATTGACATTTTCCCGCACTTTTGACGATTGTGTGTAAGCAATAATGACGTTTGTCAAACGAAGAGTTTGATTTTTTTAGCGCTTTAATAATAAAAACACTATTTGGAACGAATATGAAAAACATCAACAGCAAAAATAAATACTAAAAATAAAAAATAAAAAATTTGTTTGACACAAAAACACACATGCAAATAAAATACTTTTCTCTTTTTTTTTTTTTTTTTGTTTTACATTTTGTTGTTTAAGGACAACTTATACGTTAATGTATTTGTGTGTGCGTGTGTGTGTGTGTGTGTGTGTGTGTGTGTGTATCCATGTATATTTATGCAGTCTTTATACTATGGACGGGCATGCCTGACTTGGTGTGCATAATACGAGCTTATCTTTCGTATTGTGTCATACTTGCCGACAACAACAGTAAAAACATTTTTACGCTCGCTTTGATGTTAATGTTCGACCTTTGTTTTTATGTTTTTTTTTTTTTTTTTTAGTTTTTCTTTTTAGTTGTTGTAATTATTGTTATTGTTGTTGGTGTTTGTCATTCCTGTAAACGGGTGTGCTTTCGTTTTTTGATTTAACATTTTGTAATTTTGCATCAAAGGACTTGTGCTAACAACTTAATGGCATGTGAAACGAATGGTCACACAAAAGTCATACCACACAACCACTACCGTTACGACTACCACTACCAGTACCACGGTGACTGCCACTGCTGTCACCACCAACACCGCACTCATCAACTGATTGCACATCTGCATGCTTAACATCAGCAGCCGAACGTTGATAACGATGAATATTAATCTAGTGTTCAGCAGTAGCCTTGAGGCTCGTTTATCAGGTTTTAGAGTTTTTTTTTTTTTTTTCAATATTCCATGGACAGTTTTAATACACAACAACAACAACAACATTATCATCAACAGTAGCAGCAACAGCAGTAGCAACAACAAAAACAACAGCAATAATAATAATAAAAACAGCAACAATAAGAGGAACAACAATCATAAGGATAATGCGGATGTGAGATGATGGTGGTCATTGGAAAATTTTTAATTAAAATTTTACCCATACATACGCTTCGGGTATGTTTTGTGCAAAATTTGAAAATTTCAGAAGATATTTTAATTATGAAATGCTTTTTAATACTCCTTGTGCTCACCTGTTTGCAATGTATTCGATTCCGCATCGGCAAATTCGATTTTTGGTCGTTTTGTCACTGGCTGGCCATCGTCGTTCTCGTTACTATTATTGTTGTTGTCGTTGTAACAATCCTCGATGTTTTCACTCTCAGCATCTTCGATACGTTCTTGTTTAATGCTAGCGAGAGTTTTTGGTATATCCTCATTATTATCACTGATTTTAATGTTCTCCTCTCTGCTAGCGCTGGCTTCCATTTCCTTGGGCGTTGTGTTATCATTTTCTGTTATGTAAGTTTATTGTTAAAAGTTATGTGAAAAACATTGTTTGGTCATTTCATCCAACAATTTTAAAAGCAAAACGAGAGGGCGGGGTGCGGACAGAAAAAAAAACAAAACACATAAGCAACAACTAAGACTTACCGTCAACTAAACGTTTAGGGGTACTTGAGGCACCATCAGCTAGCATATCCGCCGGACTGGGTGGTGGGGTATGAATGCGGGAACCTCCTGCAGATGGCTTACGACTCGTAATAGGCCCTGACGATATCGATGGTCGCCGATTCGCTAAGCCCAGAGGCCGTCCATCTTCGCCATCAGCTCTGTCGTTGGTTGGAGCTGTTGATGAATGACGTATGATATACACAATTTCTCTAACGCGTTCTTGCTTTGATTTACGCTTATTACCTAAACACTACATATATTTACCTTGATTGGAACATTGGCCATAGTTTTCTTTATTACATTGCAATACTTTGTGTTGAATAAACTTGACAATATCGGCTAAAGCGAATGCCTTTTGACACATTCCGCAAGTAAGTATATCCTGAGCTGTAACATCCGCATCTGTTGAGTCAGAATCTGAAATGCGAAAATAAAAAAGAGAAGAAGCTACTTACATTGTTCCCAAAACTACATTTCATAATTATTATTATTTGGTTACAATCTTTACAATATGATGCGCAATCAATAATCCGCCATTCAATAATTCCCAATTCGAAATTTCGTGGGAATAAATGGTTTTTTTGAAAACTACTAAACCTTTAAAACTTTCTATAATGAAATATTTTAATGAAAAAGTATGCCGTCGTAAAGTGGGACTGTGTCTGGGGCACAGCGATATCTCTCTGATATCGCGAATTTATCTCATTTATTTTGGTTCCTGTGACAAACTTGTGTTCTCTCGGCATGCGGCACCGTTGTCCAAGTTCGTCAAATCGATACGATATCGTTTAGCTTCATTAGAACCTACTTTACTTTTCATATACATGGGTATATTAAATTTGTGAAAATGTATGCAACGCCACGAAAGTCTTGAGCTATCCCACCACATATTATGCCGTCAGGTTCAGAATGACTTTCTGATCGATTTAAACTTATAGCCCTACTCCGTCTGTCAGTCTCGCATAGTCGGACAGTCAACCTACAGGTCGTAATTTTTGACATATTTCGATGAAATTTGGTACATCGATAGGGGCAAAATTCTCTTCAAAATTGTTCGGAACGGAGCACCTTTTCGACCACTTTCCTTATAACGTCTTATAGGAAGAAGTCATCATAGCAATAATTGTATTACGTAAAGTGGCGATGTAGGATGTTAAATGATGGGCCCATTATAATATTTTTATTTTTTTTTTTATTCAAGCGTACAGAAATAAGGGAACTCGTCGAAATTTGTGCGAAATGAATATAATTAAATTGTTGTTTGTGTTATGAAAGGATTATACACTTCACTCTGTAGTGCTCCCATATATGTAAGATAGGAATATATAAAGAGCGGAAAGCATTCTCTAACAATTGTGCCTGAAACACTATTGACGATCGAAATTTATGCACTAACTACCACTCTTCGAAAATATGGATTTCGCATTCTATTCATCGACTATTGTTATAATAAATTAAAGGATTTCGATATCTTTAAGATAAGTAGTTCTAAAAAAAAAAAAAAAAAACGGGCAACCAAACGTGTCCTGAAATTGTAAAACGAAGTCCAAAAAAGCTAATCTTAGTTTTCTCTTTTTGGGCTATGTTCTTTAAAAATACCATTCTTCTCTCATATCCCACTACCTATAATTTTTGATGGCCACCGGCAGCAGGCTACTCGCACGTGCAAGAGAGACACCGTCAGAGTTTAGCTGATCAAGATGATCAAGAAAGATGTAAGAAGAAAATGGAGAAGAAGATCCCGTTCCTTTTTAACATGCGTACAAAAGATGGTTAAACGGACATGAACGGCTGTTAATTTATATTAATACACCATCAACCATGACTGAGGATTTAGTTCATTTTCAAAATTAATCTGACAGAGGGATAGCTCTAATAGGTGAGAGTGAATTTAAGATAACTTAAACCGTCTGTCTGCCATATAGAAAACTGAAGGCAGCTTCAGATGGAGACGGCTGAACAGCGAGTCAAAATATATATAAACAAAATGCAGACAAAAGTATTGTACAACGTCCTCGACATCTTTTTCTATACGTAGCGAACATTTGATAGGTGATTCTTCTCAGGCCACGACGCTGCGGTACATATCGTTAATTATTATAAAGCAATGCAACAACGTAATTCGTGCCACAACTACGCATATATATGAAAAGAAGAAGAGAAGAGACGAAATAAGTCTTGAAATGATGAGGGTGTTCAGTGGAAAACACTTTTTAAAATCAAAGGATCCGCAATGAATGAATGAATGAATGAATGAATGAATGAATTCGTTTGCGCTGCGCTTTTAAAGACAAGATATCTTAAGAATTAAAATTTAATGTCCAGTGTCTTTCTTATGTTCACTATTTAACGAATTGCGTTCTTCTCTTCCCAAAGAGGAAAAAAAATGTTTTTTTTTTTTTTTCAATTCTTTCCCTACAATGTTACATACATGCACAATTGTAAAATGTTAATAAATGCAGATACGTAGATATCGATAAATTTTATCTTAATTCAGTTATGGTTCGACCTCCGATTGGTGGCAATTGCCGAGTCAAAGCTATTTATCCCCGCATACCATACGCAACATCCAGCATCGCACGCTTGTATGTGCCATTGATGGCGAAACTTAATTTGCGGACAAATTTATCGCTTACAATTTACGCTTTATCCTTAAGTACACATTCCATGCATACAATATGTGCATGTATAGTATTGTGCCGTTAATAACATCAGATTGTTTCGTACGTTACGTAGCTCGGTAGGTTTTATTTATTTATTTATTTATATTTATTTATTTATTTATTTATTTTTTTTGGTTTTGCTACCATGTGGTAATAAATTCATAAGTTGCATAAAGTAATTAATTTGGCAACGAGAGGAACGGCATCAAACTAATTGTGGTCTGTTAATGATATGCAGACTTTGAATGTCTAAAAATCGGTAACGGTAATTGAGTTGAGGGATGATATGCCAATCGATGCGATGGGTTTTCATTCGCAATTCTGTGGTCTTTGACAAAAATGATAAAAAAAAACAACAAAAAAAAAAAAATAAATAAATAAATAAAATAAAAATAAAAAGAGGAAGAAGCAAAGCCATAGCATGCGAGTGTGTTTTGTTTATTCAATATTTCATTTAGTATTATGCACTATTTCGCATTTGACAGCCACGTTATGTTACTTTGTAACGGGCGAGTGATTGTTGGATCGATAACAAGAAGCTTAAATATGAATTTCAAGTATAGTTATAGCCCTACTATATAGTATATAACTACATGTATATGTGTACACATATATGCGAATGCGGGAAAAGAGGGGGTTGGCGACCGATTTCGTTCATTTTTGTCTGCTCTTGTCCCTTTGCTTTTCTTCGTTTCGGTTTCTTTGTTTTTTTGTTTGTAGCTTAAAGCTAATTGACACCAGTACGTAATGTCAAAGGACGAAAAAACAAAATCGAAAAAATATTTCTCTCTTCCTTTTGGCAAGTGCTTGTTTTGTTTATATGCTCACAAAGCGTACAAATGTTAACATATGTAAAAGTTTTTTCTCCTCTTTTTTTTATTTATTTCTTTATTTATTTATTTGGTTTTTTTTTTTTTTTTTTGTTGTGCAAAATCAGTGACCAAATATTTTAGCACAATAAACTCATCATTAGTTTCTTAAGTAAAGATATGCGGATTGCTGTAGGTTACATATAATAAAGTGTTAACGGAAAATTATGCACGCACACACGCACACACACATGAACGCTTTCACATGCACAGTGTGGTAAAGGTAGCAGCATAAGTCTTATAGGGGATGGTTGGAACACCATTCGAGTTTCGAAACAGACGAAGCAATTTTATACTTTCACTTTAACTAAATATGGATGGCCAGTGGCTTCTTTTTATATATATAGAAGTGTTTGCTGTTTATTTATGTTCCCGTACTCCATACACATGCAGCACATCCCCATTACTGATTCTGTCATTTTACTTATAAAATCTATAAATCTATCCAATAGAAACCTTCTGAAATTCTCAAATTCTTTACTAATTTAGCCGTAATTGTTAGTCGACCTACCCGTGTCATCATTAAGAGTGACTTGAAGAATCGGAACGATTGCCACATAGCCGAGTAGATATGACCATCGTGACCATCAAGTCAGTGTTCACTTATTTTGTTTATATTGGGTCGTAGCTGCGAGTGAATACTTTGTCGGTAAGCGCATAAGATTTATCGATTGACTGCGGCCACTGTCTATCTCTGCTCTTTCTTCTGACCCCTCACTGCGCATTACAGGTGTAGAAAATATGACGTAAGTGATGGCTCGTATTTAAAAAAGAAAGAGGCCTTAGTTAACCGAATGCAAGATTCCCTTAGTTAACTGAATCCAAGATTCGTTTTATATGAAAAGAAGATTGCATAGCAATAATAAGAGCAGGTTTGCCTCAATGTTAAATATATCACTGAGCGCCGTAAGCTATTAGTTAGGCTTGTAAATCAAGTAAGGAAAGCAAGAAAAGAAAATTCTGACTTTCTCCGCAGCGAGTGATAAACTCCTAAAATCCTTAATCTACATCGTAGACACTCTAGCACGTAACTCGAGAAACTCATTCAGGCAGACCTACTGCAAAAACCAGACTGTACTCCAATAAGAGTTGAAGGAGGAATAACATAGTAACAAACATAGAAAATGAAGTATGGCCCTATCTGCTCAAGACGATTGATGTCCAATTATCTGATTAAACAACACTTGAACTTTATTCAAAGCTAACATTGCCGCAAAGCGATAGAGTTCATAGGTGTTTCGCAAATCTACTTTGGATTTAAGTTTGAGCAGGAGAGTTAGAACACGCACAAAACGAATAGAGAAAACAAACGGAGCTTAAAACAAGTCAATATTTCGCGATCTTCCTCCGGATTAAGATTTAGGTTCAATTTTAGACGATACTTAAGTACTTAAGTCCTAAATTTATTAACAATCATATATTAATCATATTTTCAATGCTTTTTAAAATTATTTTAGATTTCAGTTGCCCTTCTTCTCCAACCACTTTTTTCTATTGCCATTTTAAAAAGTTCAAGGACGAACGCACACACGAATAAAGTGACCAGCTTGCAAAAAAAAATATTAAAAAGCCTTAAGAGTCCTATGACTTCTATGAATCTAAGAATGAGAAAGCGAAAAAAACACAAAAGATTCTTTAATGGTTGAAGAAGTAAGAATTCAATCTTTTTTTTTTTTTTTTTAATATTCTATTTAAACGTGAATTTTCACGTTACGCTTATTATAAGGGATTGCAAAATTAGTTATTGTGGTGAAATAAAAAAAAAAAAAAAAAACAAATTAAAGCATATATAGGACAATTACATGTTTTTATGTATTATATATGTATATATGTAGTTGTCAATTAGGTATTATGACACAATAAACACATGCACAAACATACACAC